TCTAGTATCCTTATTACATTGATCACGATTGACATTGGAGAGAGGGTATCAAAAAGGTAGAATAAATTAGGTATATTGATTGATGTTTGATTTATTGGTCTGTCACCTCGCGCGATGAAGCTACATGGAGAAAGTAGGCAACACATGCGTTCCTTGGAACCTTCTAGTTTGCTTTTATAAAAAAATTTTCCAATTTATATGATTTAATTTTTCAAGTAACAAATTTCGAAATTGTCTAAAACTGTGTAGATAAAAAAAATTGTTGTCATAGGAAAAACATGAAAATCAAGCTAATTCAGAGAATTCGTGTCCCCCCTAGGGAAAAAGTCGGATCCCCCTGACTGAAATTGTAGAATTATTAAATGTATAAATGTATACTGATGCAAATAAAATACATGTAAGTCAATATGCGTATAAAGATTTGATTGCTTATTCTTTATTATGTGTATAGAAGATTCTTTTTATATGGAATATTAATCACACTGTAATAGTGATTTTATAACCTCATAAATTTTTCTTTTCACATGCTGGATACTATCATTTAAAAAAAAAAGAAAAAAAAAAAAAAGGATAGTCCGAGATTCGATCCCGGGACCTCTCACTTGTAAAGCGGGAGACATACCACCAGACCACGGATGCGCTTTAATTGTCGTCAAGTATATGCAGAAGTTAAGTCACATACATGTATATATTCATGCTCGATATTGTCAAAATTTTACACAATCCATGGTGTTTGATTTATTTAGCCTTTATTAAACAGTTCTAATAGATGTAATAAGAACATAAAGTCCGCCGAGAACCTGTTTTATACGCAATAACTCTCCGCATGCCCCTGTGCTAAAAATAGCGACATGTAATACTATAAATACTAATAAAACAAACGGGGCGGGACACTTTGAGAGGGGTGAGAGAGGTCCTAGGGAGTTTTGGTATAAAATTACATTGCATAAGCTCAAAATCTTCTTGAAATATCGCCCGGAAATGATAGTGTTACACACAGACAGAATGTATAAATTTACGACCTTGAACTTTGACCTTTTGACCTCAAAATCAATAGGGGTCTTCCTTAGGCCACAGGGAGTTGTTATGTAAAATTTCATTGCAATACCTCAAATGGTTCTAGAGATATCGTGTGGAAACGAAAGTGTTATAACAGACAGAATTTGCTTAACTATGACCTTGACCTTTGAAGTTTTGACATCAAAATCAATAGGGGTCTTCTTTAGTCCATAGGGAGTTTCTATGCTAAATTTCATTGCAAAAGCTCAATGGGTTCTCGAGATATCGTGTGGAAACAAAAGCGTTACAGACAGACAGAAAGACGGACGGACGGACGGACGGACGGACGGACGGACAAACCCAAATTAATATCCCCCACTTTTCAAGCGGGGGACGATGATGGGCCTGAAATATGAAATCAACATCATATTATGGAAAAAGTTGTAGGGAACTTCGCCAGAATTGCAGCAAGTTCATTCAGTCGCCTTTCAAAAAGACATATTACAGATGTACTGGGACTGATGTCCTTTTCTCACATGATCCTATAATTCTTTTCAAGATGACGTGCTTTTGGTGCTTACTCCAGCATTGTACCTTATCCCAACTTGACTTTTAGAGGTCCGTGTTGCTGACTGCTTCGAATTTGTAATGTTCCATTGGTCATCGAGATTGATTTCTGTTCAAAATATTTATATTTCATTCCTCAACAAGGTTCCAATATGTCTGCTATTGAATGGTATTAATTTTGCAGAAAATGAAAATAATTTAAAAAAAAAATGTCTCAAACCTATTCCTTTTTTGTTACCCTATTGATATATTGTAGTGTGTATTGACCCTTTTATCTAGGTCTATACAAGTGGATTATTACCAGCTCTACAGATTGCAATCTGTTGTCGGACACCTGTTCATCTTATAGCTAGCGACGCATCAAAACATCATTAAGAAAATTATATGCATGAAGATTGATTGTGCATGCTTTACCTCTCATTCAGAAATATTTGCAAGACGAAAGGGATACCAAGCGGGTGTTCTACGTTTTCCTCTTGGAAAGACTGAGCTAACAAAAAGAAACTTATTTGACCCTTTTCAAACGAGCAATCAGCGACCACCTATTAGTTAAAGTTTAGGATATTATGGACTTTGGATTATAATTTGCAGAATGTCAGTGGTTTGATTTTGGTTTAAAACATAGTGATATTATCAGCAAATCTGAGAAACAGTACTATTTTTTCACGATGCTTGAAAAAAATAGATTATTTAAAGTTAAAAAATCTTCGAGTTTTGCAAGTTAATTAAAGAATTTAAAAAATAGCCTAAGGCTTAATGATATTTTTATTCCTTGTATGGGCTCATTATCTTTTGAATAGCTTTTTATAGTGCAAATTTGCTTTACTGGCTTTTCATTATTATATTTTCTTTTTGAAAACACAAATTTACATGATGTCAGTTGTATTAAGTTTACATTTGTTTGTTGAAAGTTGAAGGGCTCGGATTGAAGGTCTTATAATTGCACTCGTTTAGGAGACTATGTATAGAAGTACATGTACGTACCTTTTTGTCGTTAAATAAGTTTAACGATATCACCATAAAAGCTTATATTATTGAATTTCGTTATATACAGTCATGTAATAACGTTCGTCAAATGACGGTTTTCCTGCATAATTGAACACGATAACATTCTTTTATAGACATAAACCGTAATTACCTTTTTTGATGATGAATTTTCGAAAAGCTTGTCAAACACGGCAAGCAATGTGTTATTGGCATTTTCAGAAACGATTAAAAACCAATTGTCTAGTTGAGTGTATGGGAGAATTTAGAAGTTTTAACGTTATGAAATAGATACGCAGTTATGATAATGCTGTCCGAAGACTTAAAATGCCTTGAAAATATACATTTTATTCTGAAGTAGATTTTAATTTTAATATGTATTCCTTGTTTGAAATTGCAGACAACTTGAGATAATAGTTTAATCAGCTTTTATTTTAAAGCATTTCTGTGTTGTCACATGACTGTGTTGATCACGTGACGGAAATTTATGATAATCCTAATTGTTGCACAAAAATCGCTTCTGCACAAGTGCAAAACAAATATATTGTACAAAGTTTGTTACATGGATCAATTCATCGTGATCTCTAGTACATAGAAAGTGCTGGGGGCAGGTTTAATTTTTACTCGTTCAGAAAATATTTTACAAGAAATTAAACTTACCAACATTAGAAGAGGTATTTTCCACTCTTTATCGCGATTTATACAAAAAAAGGATAAACTATACACAATCCCCCAGCAATAATCAGTTAGAGGACATACTTCTCTTGTAGATTCACACAGAATATCTTCAATTTGTCTTTGTTTATCACTTGTGCCATTCCAATATAAACACGATTGTTAAATTCTAACTCTGTCGTGGACGTGGGACTAGTAACTTGACGTAAGGGGAGCGTTTCACAAATAATTTTTTGCTTTAGTCTGAATGTGTGCATATCGAACAAGCAAAAGGAATGTGGATATAAAAATTTCAAATGTTCAGCATCAAAACAGCACACTCGAGCTTAAAAAGCAATCCTTACACTTAAATTAAACAACAAGTCCCGAAAATAAACTACATGTCATGTAAAATTTATGATTTTTTCCCCGTTATGTCAGCTCAGGTATGCAGTTACCTGACGTTATATCATATTCTATTAGATATTTTACGGGCAGCCTTATCCTAGCTGTGTATTGTTTATCCCAACTCTTAGTTATTCATACACCTTATCCTTCAGAACACGCATATTAAAAACATTAGTTTATATCGAGAAAGTCGATCTAATCTGAAAATCAATGGTAAGAGAAAGTCTAAAAATGATCACAAAACGTCACTTAATTCAACATGTGTTGTGTATACATCCATGTTATGTTCTTTGCGTCGATCGTTTAAAGTTCCTCATTTCAATTAACCCTATTAATACGGAAAAATCGGATTATATCCCCAGGAAGCATGAACCAGTTTTAATCCAAAATTTAAAAAGTCATACCTCAAAATACAGTATAAGGATTTAAAAGATGTCGATATATTCAAGTATATTCAAAAAAAAATATTTTTCATTGGTACAGGGATAAAATAAAATACAAATTTTAATGAAAAACTCAAACTTTAATCTAAAACACTTTCGCCCCATGCGGGCTCATCAGTAGATTTACTGAATTTACTGAATTTCCGATCATTATCTACTGATGAGCCGCATGGGGCGAAAGTGCTTTAGATTTAAGTTTGATGGAGTTTTATTATTTACATTTGGATTTTATTCATGTATATATATGTTTAGGCATGATTTTTAATGCTGCATTTAAGATCTTCTATGATGATACGTATGTATGACGAGATTCTGTAAACCAAATCTATTTGTATGCAAGAAATTTTCACGAGAGCCTCGTCATCGCGAATATTTATCGCCGCGAACAGGTCCTTAGGGTCTCTGTGTCACTTAACAACTGATCCAAACTAGACTTGATCGAAAAAATTAATTGTCAAGGACTAATTTTCGCCTGGTAAATCGCGACATAAAGTCGTTGCAGATAAAAGTTGGTTTACAGTAATGAGAACCTTTTGTACGAAAAAAGAAATCAGTTTATAATTATTTCTCTTAAATTCATCAACACAAAATTTTAGATAACCGACTTTTTTAATAAACGTGAAAGATCTTTTAAAAATTCAGTTCATTTGTTTCAATTTCATTATATATTTCCCTGACTGATCCATGTATGTCCTCACTCGATCATGACTGTGGCACAATGTGGTTATTGCGATATCTGAAATTCTTGATTACTGCAACTCCAATGACATGTTAAGTTTCATTTGATAGTTATAAAGACGGCGATGTGTCCGATATACACTCAGACAGGAGGGAATATAATTTGAACGTTTTCATACATCGTGTCGTTATCGGGAAAATTGACAGTTGTGTCTCTCAGATCCCGAGAATAAGTTTTATATTTCCGATTATACATGCATACAACAACGTTAGTTAAAATCATAAGTACGTCCACAAAACCAATCACTACTATAGAAATAAGGATGATTCTGTTGATACTGGAAGGCTTCTTTGTTGGAACTCTGCTTGTAAAATTTGTGTACATGTATGGGGATGACCCCGTCGTCCAGATGGTGTCCTTTTCCATTACTGTACTAATGACTGTAGAATGGTCTTCCATTTCTATGAATAAAGAAATACTGTAAAAGCAATATTTTCAATAATTCTGATTTCTTAGTTTTGATTGTGGTACGTAAAATTAAGGATGTTCATAGGAACAATTGGTTGTTGATCTGTACTGAATGATATTTTCTACGAATTTGTAAAAGAAATGAAATCAATCAACCTGTTGATGGAACTGAACAACCTCGAGAAAAGTGACACAATTCCATCGAACATTGACAGTGTCCTTGACACTTATCTCCATAGAAAGGAAATGGACATTTTGTACAGTTTATTCCTCCATATCCTGGTAAGCATTCTACAATAATATTAATTCTTGATTAGTTTTGAAAACAAATCAATTCTACAATAGGAAATTTAAAAACATATTAAGCAACGAGAAAACAACTAATGTGTCAAATGTTATGTCAAATTAAAAATACACAGTCACAAAGGTTTGGATGAAAATGCACTTTCAAAAACTTTTATCCAAATAACTTTTAAACTGTGCAAAAAAAAAAGACTTGTAAAACGCAACCTCCATTCATAATGTTTGGAACTATAATTAAAATTTAATCTATGTAGGCAACTTTACATTTATATACTGTTAAGTTGGTAGATACAGTGTAATAAGAAATCGTCATTCACTCCACCATCATAGTTTTATTTTTAATCTAAGTCAATCTGTACATGCATATGTGATACATAAAACATATTAAAATGGTGCCTATAAAAAGCTGCTAACTTTGTTCGACTGCGTTCGAAGTGATCGTCGCATATTCTGTTACGCATATATATATTTTAATTATGTAATTTGGATATTCCCTTTAATACTATAACCCATGGATACTATATTGAACAATAAATGACATGCACTTGAGAGAAAGGGTTGGGGTAACTTTTCATAGCTTGAACAGTGCTGCCATAATATTTTGTTCTTTTAGCATGCCAAAGTAATTTTCATACATTTCATGTAATAAGAAGTGTAATATATGGAGGAATCGTAGTAGTATTCAACCCCAAAAGTCAGTAAAACAACACAAAACAGGAGCAGAGGAAACATCTGCAAAACATCAAAGGTGGTAACAGGTACCATGGAGGAGTAAACATCTCCTGCTAACCGGTCACACCAGCCGTGTGCCCCTTGTCATAATAAACTTAAAATGACAATTTTATCTACATGTACATCGACATGTACGTCAACATTTCTACTACCTGATTCGAATGCACAACAGATTCTCTCATTCACTTACTTTTACAATCTTGACTTTCGTTATCCCACGAGTAGTCTGGACAGCAACCTTTGAAACCTCTGTGTGAATGAATTTTATACAAATGGAATTAAAATTTGAATACTGTAAATTTATTATATTTGGCGTGTACGATATTTGGCAGAAATGTATAGCGGGAAAGAGGTTTGTTGCTTTATTGACAAGATTGATACTATACTGTTCCATGCAAATCTCCAGCATTGCAGACAAACAAAAACAAAATTCTATTTCTCTCTTTTCTTCCCTCCTTTAATGAAATAGATTGTTTCTGCATGTCCACAATAATGTAATAATAAATATACGAAGTAAACATCCCACCCTACCCCTCCTTGCTTGACGTGGACATACACATACACTTCTGATTTGTTAACCAAGAACTACGAACTCTAACTCTTGATTCTCGCCTACATTTTTCACCCATTAAATTCAATATTAATGGCAATTTGGCCATTAAATCTTTGTTTAATACAAAGAAAAGTTCTATGGTAATTGATTAATCATTTTAATTCCAGCGCTAGATAGTAAATTATCATTAATTTTAACTCTTGAAAAAAAGGTGGTAGTCTATATTTTCTGGTGAAATCGAACTTTCAAGAATCGCCATATCTTGAAATAGTCTTAGATATGGTAAAATGTATCTCATATCTTTTCTTATGTTTTACGCAAATAAAAAAAACATATCTAAATTAACAAAGTACAATTATTTAGTTGTAAATAGCTTTAAAATTGGTGAAAAATCAGATTTTTTTTTTCGTTTTTTGTCTATAAACATTTGCCCCCCCCCCCCCCACCGGTGAAACACAAAAAGCTTTGGGATAAAATTGTAAAATGACAGTCTATATTATCTGTAAAAAGGATTTTTTGTTTCACGGGGGGGGGGATGTTTTAAAAATATTTTCCGTTTTCTGTTGATTTCTATAGTGAAAAACACAAGTTTAACCAAAATTATAAAGTTATCTCTCTTTGATATCCTAAATAAGTAACGTTTTATGAAAATTCATATAAATATCTATAAAAATTTTGAAATTCATTCGAATATGTTAACTTTTGAGAATTGACATAGAGGTAAGCGGGAAACAATACTATCGTTCGTAGTTCTTTATTCATGTTGAATATGCATACCTTTATCAAGAGCTTTTAATTAACCCATGGTCAATCTTTGGTAATAAAATATGTGTTATTGTTTAGAAATTTAATAAGACTATCAAAAATATGCCAATCAAAGTTAAATTAGTTCTGCATAATTAAGTTCAGTGTATTCAATATAACTGAAATCAGAGTCAGAAAAACGATACATTTAGATGTATTTATGTCCGTAAAAACCCTAACATTGGTCTCATTATTTTAGTTCTAAATATTTCTACAGCGTGTTTCCTATGTTGGTTACTTGTATAAAACTGAATCACTTTCATGAATGTTTTTGTTAAACACAGTCAAAAAAAAATTATATTTTGTTTTATTACATATTGTTTTATTACATTTTGCGATGTCTTCAGTGCAAAAATAAAATAACGCAAAACGTAACAACGAAAAGCACGTTATTATGTTCCCCAAACGGAGTTTGGGAACATATTGTTTTTACTCTGTTTCTTATTATGTTCCCCAAACGAAGTTGGGGAACATATTGTTTTTACTCTGTTTCTTATTATTATTATTATTTTTCTTCCCTGGTACTTTTTTGTCCGGGAGTGATCTTGTAAACTACTCATCCGACTTAGGTAAAACCTTTTTAGGGTAAGTAGGCATGTTATGTAGATTTGCGGAACGAAGGTCATTTTGCGCGCACGTGCTTGCAAGAGCGTGCACGTGCAACACGTGAAATGACCGATTTAATTGATGTAGGCGTAACTTTTCACATTTTTGATGAAATGCTTTGAAACTCATAATATAAGGATATATTAGTAGCATAGACAATATGACATGGTCAAAATAGCAAGATCTCACGCGCATGCACGTGCGCTTCGCTCTGATTGGCTGAAACTCAAGTCTCAATATCTTTCTTGTTTTTTGACGAAATCCTTTGAAATTTTAAACATAGTCATACATTATAATATCCTACAACAAGATATATAGCAATTATCATGGAAACACGTGCATGCACGTGCGCTGCAATCTGATTGGCTTAAACTTTAAATAGCTATAACTCCCTTGATTTTCAACCAAACAGGATGGGATTTGGATCATAGATAAGTATAATGAACCTCTACAAGAAGGTATAGTCACCATGCACATGCATACACGTGCGTGTACGTGTGCTGCAGTCTCATTGGCTGAAACTTTAAACAGCTATAACTCCCTTGGTTTTCAACCAAACGAGGTGGGATTTAGAACATAGATAGATGTAATGGACTTCTACAAGAAGGTATGGTCACCATGCTCATGTGTGCACGTGCGTGCACGTGAATTGAGTAAAATCAAAAATACACTTGAATGAGCGTATTTTTTAATACTTTTGGATTAAATACGTTAATATTTAGTTTATTAAAATATATAGATTGTGTAGACAATATGATATGGTCATTACGCACATGCATTCACACGCGCACGCGTGCAATGCTAAAATTTGAATGAACTTGGTACACTTCTGGGTAAATGTTGTTTAAAAACTCAAAAGCATAGAGTTT